CGTACCTTCAGGAAAAGTGATTTTGAGGACAGTTCCAGTACTACCATCACCTTCAATCACATCAACTTTATTAAGAAGAGTAGGCAACTCTTGCACAATGAATCTAGACAAATGTAATGTTCCATAGAGCTCCCATGCTACATTTGCAGGCACATTCACTTCTATCTCATCTGAAATTGTCCCCTTCATATCGTCCTAAAGGTGGTGATTGATACTAACAGAGTACACGCAAATTTTTTAGTAAACAATGATTCTTGAAAGAATGTTATTATGAACCTGTTTTATGTTATGTTTTAATTTTTTCTAGTGGTATTTATAGTAGTACAACATGTTAAATTTACAAAAATGTGTAAATGGCTACAATTGCCAAGTTTGAATTTGGACTCAAAAGACTTCCATCTTGGCTGCTGGAAAATATATATTATAACATAAAATACCCTTTAATTTTTTATTAATCATGTGCTATTAAGAATAGATTATATATAATTGGTATTCCTAAGTCAATGTTGCTCCAACTGATCTTTGACTAGGGTGATCTATACATTTATTATAATGTATAATCACGTAAAGTGATATATCTCCCTTGAAATATAGTTTCCATCGCGGCGCGCGATACGTCCCTCGAAATGGTACATCCTCTTATCACATAACACTTATCACAACCATGTCTCAGAACCAATGCAAATGACATGTTCACACAAATAATGAGGACATGACCATTTTCATAACAATACACAATTCACAACAATACAACCGTGATACAACATCAACAATGATTCAACAAGCCTTTCAATCCAGTCTTAAACATCACACATCAACAATTAAACACATTGTATTTTATTACCCCTTTTTCATCATTAGAAAACAATTAATATGTACAAGTCAACCCATCATCAAGTCTCATTACCCTCAAACACATATCACAAAGAAATACACGAACTCCATACACTTAACAAGGATTTAGAAATTCACTTGCCTCAAATAGTCGAACAATCACTGCGAGACTTGATTCTTCCCTTTTCGTTGGACTTCCAGCTCAAAGCAAACTATTCATATTAAAATCACAATAAGATTTCGAAACTAACAACACTCATATTATTATAGGTCTAGCCTAGACCCAAAAACTCACTCAATTTATAATCAAGTTCTTAATCTTGGTGCCAATTAACATGTCCACTCTCATGTTTTTTTCCAAATTTCAAGCCTAGGATTAAGTCCTAACTCCTCCAATACCATAATCTAATGGTATTCATATAATATAATATATCTATTATTCAATTATGTATATTAATATGCAAACTTGAATCATAAGATGGTGACCAAATTTAGAGACGTAATCAGCATTCTTAACTATTGAAAACTTAACAAAAATCTAAACCCCATCATTAATTTATTTAATTTATCACAATGTATTCATAATGGCAATCATTGGCCAGCATGCTACAGTGCATCGGCGTGCACTCCAATTTCTTCATCCAACATTATTTAATAAATAAAATGGGTACAGATTGAGATAATTGATATTTAATGGCTTCTCCACAACCCCAAAACCAATTAACATATTACAATTTGGTCAACTATATATATACATATCTAGTATATATTTGTACAAGGATAGAAAATTAATTTGATAGATTTTGTTCTTACCTAATACTCGTTGTTTCCCTTGTTGAAGTCGCATAAGTTCTTCACAAACTTCTCAGTTTTGCTTTCCTCCGCATAGGTGAGTTTCTACCTCTCTTTTTCTCTTTCTCAAATTGTGGCTAATATTATTTTTTTTATTTTTTATTTTTTTTATTTATAAGAATTGTGGTCCTGTGGACCCTTTATTTATTCCCAGCCACAAATGTGACTGTCACCATCCAAAATAAAAGAAAATACAAATGAACCTTCCCCAAATGTGTCGGTCCAAATCTACTACTATGATGATTATGTTAAACCCTACTAACTTATTTTATCATGGGTTAAATAGTATAGGGTATTAAATTATGACATTGACCCATTAACCACCAAATAAATAAATAATTTATTTAATATAAACCCATCAATTAAATAACCGCAGTTATCGAATAATTTAAAATTTTCAAATCAACTTCACCGATTAATCAAATTTTACTCGGGGCAACTATCAAGAGGGATAAAACGCTAATTTTATGAAAATTCTCAAAAACAATCTTTCGGGTCATTACATTTTTTTATTTTGTCAACACTTTTAAAATAGATTTCTTCTCTTTTTTGTCTCCTTTTTCTCTTTCTAGAATTCTTTTCATATGTAATTCTCTCCCCAATTTCAATTCTTCTCCTTAATTCAATCTGTTTATGAAAATCAGATATAACAATATGTTTTTTCATGGATACTTCTAAAAATCATCTTTATATATAATCTTGTTCTTGTCAAATTAATTGTTGAATTTCATGATTTGTAGAATTGAAGTTTTTTCAATTTTGTTTTTGCGAAAATTTAGGTTATTCAACCTTCTTTTGCTTTCTTTCTAAAATCCTTTTCATATGTATATTTGCTTCTCTTCTAAATTTTCTCGTATTCTCCTTAATTTACTCTGTCTATGCAAATCAAATATAACTGTATGTTTATTGATTGATTCTTCCAATAATTTCTTTTAATATATAATTATGTAGCATTTCTTTCCCCATTAATTTTGAAAATTTGTGATTTGTGGAACTAAAGTTTTTAAAACTTGTTTTGGCGAAAATTCAGGTAATAGTTTTTTGAATTTTTTGTTCTCAATTTCATGGGTAAGAAAGATCTTCGTAAAAAATCAGAATGTTGATTTTGATGAATACAACCCAATGTATACCAATGAATTCCAATCTCAATTTAAATTAAAGTATACAAGTTTATTATGTGAATACAAATCACTGAATACACGATGGATACGAACTAATTTATACATAGTGTAATTACCGTATACATAAACAAAATCACATGTACAATTAATGAATAAAATTTATATATGTATCATATTAATCTCATTCTTGTATTCATTATAGTAATACGTATAATTGATGGTAATATTCTTATGTATACAATATAAAGTTTATGTACACATGCTACAATTACTGTATACATCAATAAAATTTACACGTCTATTTTATGAATATTTTTTTTGTGTATACATATTTTTTTTTTATGTATACATTATGTAATTGCAACTTTAATTATTGTATAATTTATGCATATGTATTAAATTATAGTTTCTAATAAAATGTCATTTAATATTATTTGATTAGTTATTGTCGATTATGTGATAATTAATACACGTTAGAGCATTAATAATACATTTTCTTACCTTAAAAGTAGTCACAATCTTTTAATAAGTTATTTAAAGAATTTTAAAAAATTCATTCCTTAAAAGTTGGTGTAACCTTTTTTTAATGGGTTAATTAATATATATATATATATCACTTCTTAAAAGTAGGCAATCGGTTTTCTAATAAACTAATTATTGTTGATTGGTAAAAAAAGGATCATCATAAAATTACAATCAAATATATCTTTGTGTTTCTGTAAATTGCGTTACAATTTTTTTAAATAGATGGTTAAATAAAGTTGAGTTTAAGAATTTAAAGATATTGCAAAGCTAACTTCCTTAATTATAGGAGTTAAAAACAAGGAAGAAAAAATAATCCCACATCTCCTTAATTAATGCGGGTTGGTTGCACATGATAAAAAGAAAAAAAACTATAAAAAGTTGGTTTTATTTCTTTTAGGCTAATACTGTCAATTCCTCGTAATTTTTCAAAAATATTTTTGTCACCTATAAAAATGGGTTGTGACTTAATTTGTATTAATGGGCCACTTAGGATGGGCTGTATAATTGGGCTTTCAAAGTCAATGTCGCTCCAACTGATTCTCCTTCTAGACGAGCTTAGTCTTTTTCGATGAGTTTAAGTTTTACGTACTAACGATATAAAATAAATATTTATATAATTAGATCACTTGTAATAATATTTTAAATTCAATGAAAGATCATTGTATAAGTTTCTTACACCACTTAGAATAGACTATATAATCGGTTGATCTTTGATTTTTTTTTCCTCTTTAGCAATCTAATTTATGCCTAGTGGCTCATAATATCAATTTATTAACAAGATAAGTAGAATAAAAATAACACAAAATCTTGTCAATGTGGCAAAATTTGTGAACAATTGAATAAAACAACAATTTTTGCCATGTGTATACAATTTGTATCAAAGTATACTCGTGTAACCATTATAACTCACAAACACAATATAATTTATCAATTCGGTAAAACTTTGTGAACGTTTTGTATTCAAATTATTCCCCGCCTTACATAACATGAGAAAGAAGATAAAACTAGTCAAAATTATGCCATTTATACATAAATTAGTAAAAATATGCTATTTTACGTAAATTGTCCATTTTTACGTAAAATAATAAATGGGGATAAAATTTAAACAACTAAAAAAATATCCAATTTTAGCAAAATAGATGTCCCCATACAAATGCCCTGGCATACAAGGAAGTCACGTCAACCAATTAAAATATGAAGGCCGGCCAATTATGATTATGCACTTGTGGTTGAAATTTATCTTTATCAACTTATATATCATCAAATATTAATAAGAGGCTTAGAAGCAGATTTCTCTTCGTCGACATGTCTATTTCATGTCGAGAGTATTTTTAAATGTTTAAATTTTATAACAAGAGTATTTTTGGAAATTCAATGTCTACACTCTAATGGTGTTTTTCCTATATTTTTTCGCTGATAATTTGGTCTCACATCAATAAAAGATGCTTTATCAAATAAATGAGACTCAACATAGGCAACATGAGCATCCGTCAAATTATAAGAAAATGTGTCTTTTTTTGAACGGACTAAAAAGAAAAACGTGTCTCATAAATTGAAATAGAAAATTAATACATAAGGCCATTTAAGTATGGTTTGTTGGACCCCACTTTGTATCTAGTATTTTATATATATAATATGTGTGTGTGTGTCTCATAGCAACTACTATAAAAAAACATGTTGGGGAAATTTACAGAGCAAGTACAAATAAATGCAGCAGCAAGTGAAGTTTGGAATCTCTATGGCTCTAATGAATTTCCAAAATTTGTTGTTGAAAAACTCCCACACATTGTTGAAAAAGTTGAGTTGATTGAAGGCAATGGAGGAGCTGGTACACTTGTGCAAGTTAGTAAGTTACTAATCTACTTCAAACCTCATAAAATTTATCTACCGAATTTACATCAAATCAATAAATATAAGATACGTATCTTTCATACACACAATTATCTCTTCCTTTTTCCTCTTCTTTTATAGGTGACGTCGTCCATAGTGATTACTTACTTGTAGTTGGTGTTTACATCCAATCAATTAATTCTACTTATTACGCAACAATCTTATACCTCCTTCATTCTATTTTGTTCGATAATATTTTCTTTTCAGTCCTCGTAAAAAAGAAGTGACATATTTCAATTTATTTCCTTAATGAGAAGTCTTTATAGCCACACAGATACTACGACATGCATGTTGAAGAACACATGTTTCAAAAAATTTGTATCCACACCGATGTTATGAAATATTTAAGGCCATAACTTTTAAAAATCTTTTTTTCTTTTCCAAATTTTATGTCAAGTCTAACTACGACTGATTACAATAACTTGGATTAGCTATAACTTTATTTTTTGGACAAAATGTATTAGGTTTACCTGGAAATCCTCCATATAAAGAGAAGTTTGTGTTAATGGATGATGAAAAAAGAGTGAAGGGAGTAGAGATTGTTGAAGGTGGATATCTTGATCTTGGATTCACTTTCTATGGAATCAAATTTGAAGTCATTGAGAAGGATGAAAATTCATCTTTCATCAAACTTACAATTGATTTTGAGACTAAAGATGTTGAAAATATTCATCTTACTATTCCCAACCTCCAAGCTTTTCTTGCCATCATGAAAGCTTCTGCTGATTATCTTGAGAAATAATATTTTTATTATTATTATTATTGGATTTTTTCATAGTTTATGTTGTTTTCCATTTTACTAATTTCTTCTTGTTGTTATTTCTCTTTCTTGTATTAATGTATTGTATTATGATGGACTTACTATTGGATGTTATTATTTTTTGTCATGAATAAAGTAAGATAAGGTCATTGTTTATTGCTTATATAATCTTGAAAGGAATGTCAAATAAGTGTGTTGGATTTGAATTTGGGCATTAATATAATTTGTGTTAATATATAGATGAATCATCCCGACTAATAAAATGAAATAGAAATTTATAAGATCAAAGTTTGTTACGGACTTGTCCTTTATACGTGTAGTTTCACTTGCACGTACCTCGACTTATTCTATAGAGCACTAACTATCTCCAATCAACACAAGTATTGGGTTAATCTGTTCATCAAGCTTGAACGGATGAGAAGGAATTACCTAATATTTTTTTGCTATTGTTGTGTTTTAAATCTAAGACCTTATGATTTTCAATCCATTTCATTGATCGCTAAGCCAGTGGCAAAGCCCAAAATTTCGCTAAAGTTGTTCAAAATCTATTATATATGCATTGAAAAGTAATTTTTAACCTATATAATTAGCATATATCTGTAAGTTCACTATGTAATGTTTCAATGAAAGGTATTCAACTAGCTTCCTTTCATTATACTAATCTCAAAGCACAATATTAAATATATTTCTATGTATTAACAAAATTGGGCTTCATTTAGATGGGACTAAAACAAGAAATAAAAGGAGTCCAGGTCCGTTGTTTGAATATACCCAACGAGCAAGCTAATTTCCCACATCGACTTCACAATATTCTTTATCTTAACTTTTTTATAGTAGCTCTGCTCGTATCCTACTTTTCTTATAGGTTTATGATTCAAATTGTTGATATGTGATATTTATCGATACAATTTATCCAAATATTATATTCATTAAACAATACAATACCATACGATACAATATGTATACACTTTCCATTCTGAATGAAGGCCAGTTGTGCCTGGACTTAACCATAATGGGCCGGCCCACTTAACCAATTGTTGTGCCATCTCAATTACTATTTAATAGAGAGATGCTAAAAGCTAAACATGTTTTAATAATAATTACCTTCTTTAATTACTTTAAATTAAAATATATGTAAAGCAACCAAATAATTTTTAGGCTAGTTTTGTTCTCTTGTTCATCGGTTCAATGTACTTGTGAGATGTTAAGTTTTCTAATTTATTGCAATTTGTTTTTCTTTCCGAGTTCCTAAATTGAAAAAATAATAATACTAGGTATAGATGTGATGTAGTCACCTTGAAATTTCTCTTGAATTTTATTAAATTATCGTGATTGAATAATATTCAATCAACACGATCTAAAGCAAATTCACTCTTCATAACTGATCGATACTTTATTCAAACAACATAAACATTTGCTTGACCCATTGACAAAAATTTATAGTTTTATGATTTTTAAATTTTGTAAAATAAATAAATAACGCTATCATTATTTGGATGAATAATTACTTATTGCTCTTATATCGGAATATCTTAAGCAATTACTCTATTGTGTTGTTTGAGATCTTCAAGAACAATTAGATAAAAATATTTAAAAAAAGTTAATCTCATCTTATATTTCTGAAATAACAAATAACTTGAAATAACTATTTACAAAAAGCATGACAAATAATTCAAGATAGAGTTAGTGTTAAGTTGAACGAGCGACTGAATTGGTGGAATGAATGATATCTCATCAAATATGATTTCCCCACATTTCCAATCGGGTACACCTCGCACAACTTATACATCTTCTATATAATTTGTGAGTTATTACATAAGAGCGGGTTTAACGTGAATATCAATACAATATGTACACAATAATCATATATATATATATATAAGAGAACCTTAGGCCCGCCTACGTGGCGCCCTCACAAACAAGAATTCCCTTCTAATTTATTTATTTACAAAATTAGCATTCTCCTTTCATGAAAGCTGTGAAATTTATGAAAAGTTGCGACTTTTATGAAAAGTTGTGACTTTTATGAAAGGTTGTGACCTTTCCGAAGGATTGCAACTTTTTCAAATAGTTGTAACCTTTCCGATAAGACACAATAAACATTTGTTCACACTACCCTTTGTTGTTTATAAATAGAGGGATTTCCACTCATTTTAAAACAACGAAAATTCTGAACCTCTTCTTCTTCTTCTTCACAATTAAATATTTGTGTACTTTGCTCCTATTCAGTGACTCATTGATACCATTGCTTATGTTAAAGATCTTGATATATATTTTTACAGTCATTAATTTATGTTTATGTTATTAAGGATAAATGATTAGATCTAATAATTTTCATTTTTCTTTACATTATTAATGTTTATTACTATGTAATTTTGTATGTAAGATAATATAGTGTTTTAATTTTAATGACTGATATATTTTAAGTATTATTATATAAATTTCATGATATTAAATTTCCGTGCTTCATTTTACTAGTTGTATAATTATACCTAACCTAAAGTTAATTCTCCAAAAAGTATATAACTCCATTTTTTACTCTCTCTCCTTCTGTTGAAATCTCATTTCCTTCACCTGCACTTCACGGGTTCTCACGAACATGGCACCCCCCATCAATCTCCGCTTTCATCGCCTTTCTTTAATCAAAATTAAATCTTTTTAATTAAAAAAAATTACCCAAATCGATTCCATTTGACCCAGAAGACAAAAAACCAGAAAAAAAAACCCTAGTTGCATTTATATTTTTTTGTATCAAGAACTGTGTATTTTGATATACCCTTTATTGAATCTGAATCGATCCAAAAACCCCAAGTGTTTTTTGAGTTAATTACATGTCTTAGATGAGGTTTACTCGAAGATTTACGAGGATTTTTATTATCCTCTGTTTGATTGCTGTTTTTGTTACAACTCCAATCTTGTTGTTTTCTTCACATAGGTTGATTCATCTTGGTTCTGATGGTAATGGTTTTGTTTATATGTGTGTTTTCAAGTTGTTTGGGTTTTTGGGGTTCTTTTTGTTTTTGCTAATTTGATTGGATTTTGTTCACATTTGGGTTGTTGCAGCATCGAAGGAGTTTGTTGGAGATTTATCAATTCTGGTAAGATTTCTACTGTTACTGTTTATTGCACTTTGATTGTTGTATTATTTTGTGGTAATGGCTTTTCCTTTTTCAGTATGTGTTGTCATGCTTTCTTTAGTTTCGAACTGCTTTTCAATGCTTTTACTTGAGATGAGATGTAGGGGTAAGGTTTGCTTATACAATACTCTGCCCAGACCCCAGTTGTGGGATTACACTCTGTGTCGTTGTTGTTGTAAGATTTCTTTTCCTTTATTCAGATTTTGTTGTGGGTATTGCTTGTTTTGGTGTATGTTGTTGAGAGGAAGTAGATAAAGCACCATAGATTATTTTGAACATTTGATTTTACTATTGTACAATGTGTTTGCTAGTAATCAGTAAGAGCTTTTTGAGGGGAAGTAGATAAAGCAACATAGATTATTTTGAACATTTGATTTTACTATTGTACAATGCGTTTGCTAGTAATCAGTAAGAGCTTTTTTTTTTAATAGCTGAAGTTGTTTTTTTGGTACCCTTGTTGTTTGCCTATTTTCGACCTGGTGTAAAAGATAAAGCTGTTAATGGTCCCCATACTTCCATAAGTTCCATTTACCCTGTTGCTTTGTTTTGGTATATGTTGCTGAGGGGAAGTTGATAAAGAAGCATATATTGTTTTGAACATTTGATTTTACTCGTGTAAATTGTTTTTTTTTGTTTTTGATAAAGGTAACTACTCGTGTAAATTGTGTTTTCTAGTAATTTGTAAGAGCTTCTTTTTTATAGCTGCAGTTAGTTTTTTGGTACCCTCGTTGTTTGCATATTTTGGACTTGGTGTAAAAGATCAAGCTGTTAATGGTCCCCATACTCCCATTATCCTGTCCCTTTGTAAAGGCAAGGATGCAGAGTTTTCTGTGAGAAGAATTATCTACTTATTGCTTGTGTCAGTTTTTGACTGGACCTCGAGTTTTATGATGTTAGTTAACTCATACAGAGTATATTATTTAAGTAGTGGTAATCAAATAAAAATGTCGAAGTAGTAGCCGTTAACAAGTTAGTTTGATAGAAAAGATCATATCAAAGTTAAAAATTTGAATGCTTTGGAAGTTCTATAAAGATGAAAAGAGTGTCATGTAAATTGAAACAAATGGAGTCTATTGTATGGGATCTGATTGAGATTTTTCGTATTTGGGTTTTGATTGGAGTTGATGGATTATATTGTTATGATATGATCTGACTGATATTTCTATTTCTCCATTTCAGAAGCACAGGATAGAGGTTCAGGCGCTTAATGCAGTTCAACAGGTGATATAAACTCTATATAAGTTCTTACAACTGTGAACATCCACTTGAATTGAACTTATGTTTGCAAACCTTTTTCTGCTGTTTGGTTTAGGAAGAAGTTGAAAACCTCAAAGAACCGATCTTGGATGTCTACCGAGATGGAAACCAAATTTCTGCAGTCAGTTTGTATACCATTGATAAGAATGATAGTCTTGGTCAACCTAAGAATGTCAGTTTGGCGGGAAATAATGGTAATTTGATTATTCAGATGTTCTTTACACTCACACACCCCACCCCACCCCCACCCCCACCCCGGGCATTTCTTTTCATTCTACAACTAGAAATTAATTGTACACATTCCTACCTAATTTCAGTAACCACACATGATTCGAAGAAAGAAAGTCAACAAAGTTTACCAGAGGAAACACTGGCCACACGAGAAAAGGCATTGGTATGTATGGAAGTCCAATGGACGCTACATCAAAGATCTCATTCATTTAGTATGAAATTTTCTTCATCATTCCTTTTATTTATTTATTTTATTTGATAAATAGATTTCAATCTTTTAATTAGTACAGTAAAAATCATAGAGTTGCTGTTGGTGGAATCATTTGCAAGTAGAGCGCAATGGTTACAAATCATTCATATAGTTGATCCTGAAATTTGGCGTAGTGGAACGGTTGATTAAATTTGAAAGCCACTAATGTTGTTTGTCCAGAGCTTGAGACTAATAGATGTACTTTTATTATTGTTTGGATAAAATAGAATTAATGGTGGTTATATAAAATATCACGTGTTGTTTGCAGCTTTAGAGTTGCA